CTACATAAACCTAACCCTCAATTTGTTGCAGAATGTTAAAGGGGGAGATTGTTAGGATTTATGTTGTACTGACAATTTTGTAGACAAAATCAAGTCCTAATTAAATTGTATTAAGAGTTTATTGAGTTGTGATCAAAGTCAAAATAGGAGTTATTGAGTCCTAATTAAAATCAAAAGAGGTGGATTGGTAGTATAGTCCATGAAAGTGTCCAAGATGTCCAAGAGGATCACATGTGATCAAGGGAATACAATTAGAAATCTAAAGAGTGTCAAAGAGTCGTACAAATTATGTTCTAAATTCTCAGTCACAAATTGTAACACATTTTTCATATAGAAAAATTTGGAATTTGGACAAGGCTATTGCTAGACAAATTGTATCCCTTTGAGTAGCTTTTTAACGTATTTTAAATCACCTCAATCAGACATTGGGAGATAAAGTTATGATAAAAATATTGATAACAATTTAGCAACCTCTCGCTTGAGCGATGGTGTTTCACATTTTTCAAGAGTTTTATCTGGCTCATACTACCTATTACCTTCTACTATAAATACGCAAGCCCTAACATGTTTTGTGTGTGGTTGTTCATTACATTATTTCTCCCTAACATCTTTCCAAGATTCAAGAACACATTCAAGTCTTGGATTAATTCTTTGATTCTTGATTTCATTCAACCACAACTTTGGCAAAAATATCAAATTGACTTAATCTAAAATACCACTTTCTAAACACATACAGGAAGATACTTTCTCAAGAACTTTCACAGATTGCTGAAAATTGAGAGAGGTTGGACTAAAAGCACAATAAGAGTACAAGAATAAGTCGTTCTTGATTATCCACAAGAGATGGACAATTCCAAAAGATCGGAAACAAGTGTGAGTGAAGCACGTTCCAGTGAGTCTTGGAAATTGCAGGAATTAGATCAGCGAGTCTAGTGGGTTTTCTTGTTGCAGGAATTTGATGATCCATAGGATAAATTAACGTAATTGACTAAACATTTAGAACAATTAAAAAGTAATTTGTTGCGTTTAATTGGTTATTTAATTCAGTAGTATTCACCTATTCATCCCCTCTAAATGATTTTAAGGAAAAACTAGTAACTTTCAAATACAGTTAAAAATAAAGTAGAGAGGAATTCTAGCATAGAAAAAAGCGTTTAATGCATCGATAAATTACAGTGTAAAACTTGTTTTTCTTCCGTATGATGTAAAAATGTGATTTCAGAAAGGATCTACTGTTATGATCTTCAAGTGTGATTTTAAAGATTCATCAAATGGAAGCCTTCACTAGCTATAAACTCATTAAAGTGCAGTAAAATTACTCCATAAAAATTATCAAGTTAGGTAAACAAGTAATCATACTAAAAAGAAATAAAATTCAAGTAATAAAATTTCATATTACCTTATAATAGCGTACAATAGTTCCGTGTTGCAAGCAAGCCATCATTTTCACCTCTCTAACCATTTAATCATTTGTGAATCAAAAATTATAGATGAAAAGAAAGTTGTTATAAATAGGGAGCAAAAACTCAAATTTGTACATTCATGTAAGAGACATCTAGAGATATTGTCCACACGTGTAATTTAAAATCTGACAGCCTTTTCTTGTGTAACTTGTTGTTTCTTGCAAAATGTAATCAGCGGTACAAGTTGCATGTAAATAGAATTAAGATTTAGAAAATTGATCAAATCAGTAACTGATTATCATCAAGATAGATGTGATAGCTGGGGACAAGTGAGACATATCAGTCTTGATTGTGGATAGTAAACTTTTTAATTTAAACAATCTAGAAATAACCACATACAGATGTGGATTAGCATCTCGAGTAAAAATAAATAAATAAATAAATAAAAAACCAGTCGATATTCCTGATGACTTTGTTGTTCGTAATTGAAGGCAATTAGCTTCATAGCATATATTCCGCCATCGAGATTATTTCGGCACTTGAAAACATGGTTGTAACTTCATTCTCTTGGAACAAGAAATAGAATAGCATTCGTACAATCAAAGACACGAAGTTTAAAACATCAAATACCTATTCAAAAGAAGCTAAAGAAGCAAGTTCTTGAAGTATGCTAAGCCAAGCATGCAGCTGATCCTTTGTGGTCCTTGACTAAGTTTAATATTACCTTATTCAAGTATTGAAAACAACAATTGAAGGAAGATTTGGATAAGTTAAAGAACCCACACAATGTATTGAGCTCAAATGGTAGAGAATTATCTCAAACTTTTTTTATTATTAAGCAATAACAAGTATTAGTACATGTAGACAGACTAAATATCATTATCAACCAAGTAGTTGATTAAAGTATGATATTGAGTTACATGTACCCTGGTGGCATAAAAACAATATATTTAACTTCACCATATTTTAGCACAAAATATAACATTTTGCAGCCAGTTGACCTCAAAAACTGGTGGGAACATGTGGCCAACATATTCCGACTCCACTCTTATCCACAACACACTTGGAGATGCACAAACTTTAGTTGCGCATGACCTTCACTTGCGATAGGAGAGGCGACCACGAGACTCCAATGCCCAAGGCAGTCAATGATAATGAGATAATATTTTAGTGTCGGATAATGAATGAGATAAAAAAGTATTTGGATCCAGGTTAGAGATGATTTTACCAAGTAATCTTACTCTTGAAAGTGCAAAATTGCATCACATTTGGATGTCACCAAGTATTAGCTTTGTTAATGGAATGGAGGAAGTGGTTTCTATTGAATGCATGATATGTGGCCTCATCCTCATAGCTCATGGGTAAACCTCATACTTCACATCCCATTGTCCTAGGTCAAAGGCGAAATAAATAATTTAAAAGTGGCAGCCCTGTGTCCTAGGTCTTCCATTTGAGAAGTAGACTGAAAAGTTGATTGAGGAGCGTCAGATGTAGAGCTGTCAAATCAATTAGATGTACCGTGATCTTTATACAGGAGCGATGTTATACAAGATGCCTTGTGAAACAAATATCTCATTGCTTCAAAATTGTGTTTCTTGTGGCCCTTCACTTCGAACATGGAAGTTCAGCCTCTAACATGTAGCTTCGGCTGAGCTGCCTAATCCACTTCAATCTCTTTCCTTGATTGCATTAGTTGGGCTAGGTAGGCGAAGTGACACGGAGTGTGGGCCTTTACTGGCTTCTCATAATTTTTTAGCTGGCTTGTCCTACCCCGTACGATGAGACATAACAATAGTCTCCCGAGTAACATTCATACCACTTTGGTAAAGATGATTCAAGGGAGACCAACATTGAAACCAATTTAAAGGAACAAGTTCAAACTATCACCAAGTAAAGTAGAGTCATTTAAAATCACAGTTAAGACATCGGGAGCTAGTCAAGCAAATGTGCTGAACAAAGAAGAGGAGCAGGTGGAAAATTCTGACAAAGTTGATGACGCAGTGCACCAGAAGAATGAAGAAATTCCAGTCACAGGAGAACGGGACTCGTGAAAGTGAAATGTAGTGCATCATACAGATTAGCCAAGTGAGGCTGAAAAATGACATGTGATCTAACCAACATAGGGAAGCACTAGGCAGATGGCATCTGTTATTTTATTGTTTTGATGATACCAAGTTGCAATCCTTCGTCTCCACAGTCACTATATATCAGACTGAGACTTAAAAAAAGAAATATTTATTATCATGTAGCATTCAAACTGAATGACTCTATGAAATCACGTCGATACTTCTATGTATTATGGATAATGTAGGAGATATCTCTATTTTCCCAGGATCTGATGAAATAGGAAGACAATATTTTGTAAATACATAATTATCTTGAATATATTAACCATTTCTTTATTTTCCAATCGCCAGGAGGAAATCCTTAGAATTTCCGGTGGTTAGCTATCAATTCGTCTCTGACCATCAAATAAAATGTGGTTAATATGTCCTCCACTCATTGAAATAAGAGGCACTTCTGGTTTTGTAGGTGCTTGAAATAATTTTGCCTTCTCCATACTAATATATCTTTAGAGGCAATAATTTTATATGAGAAACTACAAAACTCAATCACTTGCTATCATTCTTCAATTTTCTTTTGATGTCTATCATGTATATATATATATTTAGAGATCCGTAACATACAATAAAGCAATAAATGATTGCAAAAATATAAAATGAAGATAGATTGAATTTCATGCGACTTCAAATGTAGCTTAACCTTGGGGTGGTCTTGTGGAGTAATTAGAGCTCACTTGGTACCCTTAAAAGCCATTATAATTTTCCCTAAACTAAATAAAGAAAAGATGTGGCTGTCAAAGAGAAAAAGGGATGAAAAACAAGAGAGAATTGTGTTTGAGCCTTCGATGGAAAGAAAGAAAGAGTGTGATACAAACGAGGCGAATGGTAGTTGCTCAATTAAAGAGAAAGTGCGACATAACCTAGGCGAATGGTAGTTGCTCAATTTTGCAAGGACATTAAGTGCAAAGTTTAACCCATGTTTGGTTTAGACAAAAAATTGATTTTTAGTAAATTTTAATAAAATTTGATGGAATGTATGAAAAAAAGTTGTGGATCTAACGAAATGCTTTGATATATTTTGACAACATGACTCCTGTTATAGAATTATTGACGCGGAATGGAAACATGGATAATAATAAAAGTGTATAGTTCTTAACACAGGAACAGGAGTTTGTTCGAATTTCGCTCGAACGGACATGATAATTATCTGGAATCCACCAAATAAATATTGGAATCCACAATTAATTGAAAAAGTGAAATATCTTATTAATCAAGAATTGAATAACGAAATTGACTTTTGAAAATGTGTACAAAGTCTATATAATTATCCCCTAATCTTACTAATATAAGGAGTCTAAAATAAGGAAACTAATAATTAAGAATCCTACTATAATCAATAAAGAAATAATAATCCTAATTAAATAAAAGATAAAAGTCCTATCACGACTATATCTAAAAAGGATAAACACAACCGAAAAAAAAAAAGGTTTATATATATATATATATATATATATATAGTTTCCTTCTACTTCTCACAAATAAATTTCTCCGTCACTATAATTATATATGTTTCACAGTGGCCCGACTAAATATATCAATATTTACTACAACCGTTCTGTTTGTGAATATGTAGCTGAACGCTGCAGTGTAAAAAAAGGGCTCCATTTGCCACACAAAACTGCACTAACCTATTATTGACATTAAATTTATGTTCTATGCTCTTATAGCCTACACTGCTTGAAAGATAAAAAGGAAAACGAGCACAAAAGATACTGAAGACATGATGTTTTCAATTGACAAAACCCGGTAAGCACTAGATCTTGGCTGTGAGTCTATGGGTCCCGTTCCTGGTGTTAAACTTCCACCGCCATGAAGAGGTGTAGTGATTCCTGGAGGTGGAGGTGGTAAACTTGTAGTTGGTGTTGTGCCTGGAATTGTTGTACCAGCAGAAGTCCCCGGTCGACCTGTTCCTCCTGCTGCGCTGAAAAATTACAAAATCTAAGACATTAGATAGACGATAGGCATACTTGTTGGAAAAATAATAGAGTGATGACTTTAAAAACCAAAACAAAATTACCAACCTTACCGAAAATCGAAAAGAATAACGGCAAGGAAATAAACAAGGAAAAGTATGCCAACAAAGACAATACTTCTGTAGAATTTTCATGAAAACAAGAAGAAAAATAAGTATAGGTATTAAATTGTAAATTCTCAAAATGGGATTCATGACCAACATTCATTCCATCACTGCATAATCCTGTTTGAGAACTGATTTTCTTTGTTAACTATCAAAATTAATAGGTGATCTTAAATCTTCTCTCAAAGGGAAAGTTGAACGAGCGACTCTGTCCAATTGGACAAGCCAATAACTCAAACGCTTTCAGTCTTTTTTGAGCAAGAATCTTCTTACCTTATTTTTGCCATGATATAGACTCCAAGTTCTAATGGAGGAACACGAGAAGAATTATCATATCAATATAATGATGGGAATGGAAACTAGAAGCATGACTAAGGTCTTCGTAGTCCAAGATAATCAAACCGTTAGTAAGAGTAACGTAAGCATGAGAGATTTTGGTAGTACCAGTGAACCAGTTGGCTTACGATTCTCTATTGCCTTTACCGTAATATACCTACTGGAGCAGTCTTATGGCTCAGGTGTTGACTGAGAACTCTATGGTAAGGTTGATTGTACGCCGAAGTGTATTTCCAAGAAAAGGAGATAAGAATTTTTTCATTGCAGTGTCTTGTCCTGTTTACTACTTTCATAAAACATTTTACTCGTGCGAAAGATCATGCATCTCGATCATCAGAAATTCAAAGAAAGCAAGTTTCCTAACTTTCATCTGGATATCTCTCAGCCTAAAATTTGATTCTTAAGAAAAAATTCATCAGAGGTCTCTATAAGAGAATGGCATGGCAGAATTCCATTTCATTTCAATTATGCACGCGTAAAGTCATTCAATAGACGCCACCGTCATAGGACATATTCAGTATAATTCTATCCCACAAGAGCAATCAATCTAAAGAAAGAAAATAAACAATATAGAACACGCAGGATTTATTAAGGTTCGCCTCAATGTGAGATTACGTTCTCTTCCCTTGCTACAGTAATTCACTATAATGAAAAAAAGTTTACAAGAAAAAATATTAATCATATCTCCTCTAACCTCCCTTTCTCTTTATTTGATGATAATATATAAAGCCTATCTGTTCCCTATTTATGAGATAAATTATAGCAAAATCGAATTTTACAATGACTCCTATTTCTTTATAGAATTTTTCAAGAATACAAATTCCCAAATAGTCCTTAATTAAAATTTTCATCCGGGGCCTCCCCTCCCCCTCCCCCCAGGAAATGGGGCCGCCTGCCCCCTTTTAACTCACAACGACCTCACCGCGGAGGTTGATTTGCTACTAGCTCCAAGAAATGGCAATAATTAGGCTCCAAAACTTAACACTCGACTCAAGTCAACAATGATTTTTCCCATATGAAATAGAGTACTAGGGTTATTCTATTTGCACTTCCCGTTTTGGATGTTTATTATTGTGTTCTATAAATATAACTATGCATATTTGTAACTGCTACAGCCAAACATGCGTTATTATTACCAAGTTACAAATAAGCAAAGCAAAGTCATGATGGAACTATGAAAACCTTAAAGTATTTAATTACAAAAACAAATAGTGATTACTAACAGTCAACTATGCAAGATGAACAATACTAATTTTCAATCTCTAAAAACCTCGTAATTTAGATATATGACATGTTTCGTACATGTATTAGAGCATCTCCAATAGGCTTTTTATTAGTTCAATTCTCTTTATTTTGGAACCAATCAATTTATAACAAAACAAAATTTAAGAAGAAGAAGAACTGTACATGAAGTAAACAAATGATTTAAACTTCTTTTAGGATTACATATCATTGTAACTTGATTGTATGTATTCAACATCAAAAGCAATTGTTTTCTAATGACTAATGATCCCTAATAATTCATCTACTTAAAAGTTTAACTCTATAGTTGAACAGTAGATGATGCTTTTGAAACAAGTATATCCTGACTTAAATGTGAGTTGTCTGAATACACCTTGTCATCGTTGCTATTTGTAAAACAACTCACATAGCATTGAGCAAATCTGATTTTATATGTTATCATGATCTTATTGGATATCTACAACTCTCTTCTACGTTACTTACGACTTAGTTCACTAATATCATTTCTCACTAAGTTCCACCGATTTCATCTAGGTCACCAATAAGCTCCCTATCAGTTTCTCATGTTTCATATGTACATTGCTACAAGTTTTCAAGAAATATCCCTGTCGTTCTTCAGGCATATGCAAAGCTTGTCCTCGACCATTCATGCCCTTTTTTCTCTTAAAAAAGTGCTGCAAAAAAGTGCTTGGGCATCAAGAATTCCTTTTTTCTCTTAAAAATGTAATCTAACTTCAATGCAAGATCTAGTTATTCCTTCTCTCAGCTAGTATATTTTTAAGTTTGACATTTTTGTAGAGCCAATTGCCTCTGCAGTACCAGAATGCACTTAGGAAGGATACGAATTGTGTGAATTCAAGTTCTTGGATCGTCACTTTAGGGAATAATTATCTCCCTCAACAAAGAGCATCCCAACAAAATAGTATTAGTATGACAGATGTATTGAAGGTCATTTTATTCTTCTTTTTTTTGTTCTCTCATTTTCCAAAGTGGCGTCAATAGGACTCAAATCCTCGCCACTATGAGCTCCTAAGTGCATCTTGGTATTGCTCGAAATTTGTATATGTCCATCTGAATTAGCTTAGGAAGTCATTCAATGATTGGCTCTAGTTTCCTTCAAATAAAAGCTCTTGTACACTACTTTGAACTTCTACTCACTCGATGTCAGTGGTTCGAGGGGAATAAACATGGCAAGAATTTGTACATGCCGTATTAGTTTACCAAAGGCTATTACTGGTTTACATTTGGCCTCAATATGGGAAAAAAAATAAAAAAATAAAAAATAAAACTACAACAACAACAACAACAACATAGCACTTTGAATGCGTCTTCACAAACCAAGAACTATGTGATAAGCTTTTTCTTTTGAGAGTTGATGGAGGGACCGTTTGTTGTATCCCTTCCTTTTTCAATAATTTTTTCAGAGGTCATGAGAAAGCTTCGATGTGAGTGCAGTTACCATATTTACCAGTTCCATCTCTATATAATGGTCATAATTTTTCCAATTCACTCGAGAGTAGAGCATAAAATTCTTTTCTAGAGAGCATGTGTTGGGAAAACACCTCCCAAAGATTGCCCAAGATCAAACAAACTTGCAATGTGAAAAAATCTCAAGCCACTTTGAAAATAAGAAATTGGGGAAGAAATGATTTTTCAATATATAAGAAAAACAATGGATTGGATTACTTGAACAAGCCTCAAGTTAATCCCAAAGAAAGAAAAAATGGCTTTGAATTTATACCCAAGAAGAACAAACTCTTACTTGTAAAATTCTATCCAAGCCCTCTCTATATTTCTCTCTCAAAATCGGGTTCTTTTATTGAAGGGGAAAAAACCAACATATATATAATGTATCGGGGCACCTAGGCGCCAGGTTTCTGCCTGACTTTGACAATCGGGGCGCCTAGGCGCCCACACATGGCGCCTAGGCACCATTCCACTTCAACTCTTTCTCTTCTCACAATTCTCCACCTCGTACATCATTTGATAGACCTCAAATTTTGGACGAACACAAGCAGAAGTAGCAAGCGCCAAACTCGGCTGCATCATTCAAACCATGGTTGCCTACGTACCCAAAACTCGAGATGAAGCCTCCGTAGTTCACCTCCGCCTTCATATACTCTTCGCCTCATTTCAACCCCGCCCCGAAGGGCCATGCCCACTCGGGCATATCAACATGGACTAATGTGATGCAAGTTCAAGCAATGCTGAAACTTGTTACCCGTTACCACTTTAGTTAACATGTCTGCTGGGTTCTCATTTGTGTGTACCTACAAGAGTGAAATATCACCTTCCTCTATGACATCACGCACAAAATGATACCTAACGTCGATATGCTTGGTTCGAGCATGATGAACCTGATTCTTAGCCAAGTGAATCGCACTCTGGCTATCACACCACAAGTCCACAGAATCCTGCTCAATCCCCAAATCATCTAGAAGACCCCATAACCACAATGCTTCCTTCACTCCCTTTGTCATGGCCATATACTCGGCCTCTGTAGTAGAAAGAGCAACTGTAGCCTGTAACATCGATCGCCAACTGACTGGGGCACCATGTATGCAAAACACATATCCAGTAGTAGATCGTCGTCTATCTAGATCACGTGCATAATTCGAGTCCACAAACCCACTTATATGACATGCATCTCCACCAAAACATAAACCCGTATCCGCGATACCTTTTAAGTACCTCAGGATCCACTTCACAGCTTCCCAGTGTGCCTTCCCGCGATTCGCCATGAATCTACTGACCACACTAACCGCCTGTGAAATATCTGGGCGTGTACACACCATGGCATACATCAAACTGCCAACTGCACTAGCATAAGGTACACGATCCATGCGTACTTTTTCTTCCACTGTAGTAGGAGATTGTTTACCAGAGAGCCTGAAATGTAGAGCCAATGGAGTCACCACCGACTTTGCACCTTGCAACCCGAACCTAGCAATAACCCGCTCAATGTAGCCTTTCTGACTCAAGAACATTCGTCGGTTCGTCCTCTCTCTTTTAATCTCCATACCCAATATTTTTCTAGCAGCCCCCATATCCTTCATCTCAAACTCTTTACCAAGTTGAGATTTCAACCTATCTATCTCCACCTTACTTTTCGAAGCAATAAGCATGTCATCCACATACAATAGAAGATAGATATAGTTACCTCCTCGAAGTTTTCGAATATAAACACAACAATCATATTCACTTCTGGAGAAACCTTGCTTTAGCATGAAGGAGTCAAATCTCTTGTACCACTACCGAGGAGATTT